TTCGTGTCTCTTTTCGATTTCCACTCCTCCATTACATTGTTGTCCTCTTCGCTTTTGCTGTCTCGTTCGTCACCATCTCTTCCAGCGTTTTCATGTTGTCGTGGTTTCCGTTCTGTTTTTCACAAAGCATCCCTCATACTTCATCAAATACCTTACAATAGGATACCCCTTATGATACTGTCCTGTATTCAAACATATGGCAAATGATAACTATACAACTACAACTTCAATTCCGCGCTTGCCAGTGTCGTCTCCAGCTTCACTTCGCCTCTCAGATTGTTCGCGTCACCCCAATACACCTTTCCTATTGTTGCACTGCCAGCTTTACTAAAGTCCACAGACCTCTTCCTTCCCTTTTTATCAGGATCTTCTTGCTCCTCATCCACAGTGACCTCGTTCTTGCCCATGGTCGTCTGAACAGAGAACCGCCCCTCGAAAGTAGGGTGCATTTGCACTTGTACAGGTCCCAGCGCAGTCTTAGCTTTAAGATTGATCGTGGAGTTGACGGGTGCTCGAGATGTGAGAAGCGAGATTGGGCCGACAGCATTTGACGCCGAGATTTTGAAGGACCCTCCAGGATTAGAGGCGGAGTCTTCTTCCTTGTCGGAATGGATTTTGTACAATGTGAGATTGCCATTGACGCGACTGAGGCAAGTATCAGAGTACAGATGCGCCGTTTACAGTGTTCACTTACCCATGGGCCGTTTCCATCTTGACTTCTGTTGGTGTGTCTTCGTCTTTGTTAAATAAAGTTACGTTAACGTCGATGGGGGCATTGGCAGTGATGAGGTCCAGGCGAGTAGAGGCAGTGTAGGTCCCAATTATAGGCCCGTTAGCACTTTTGATGGTAGACTCTCCGAGAGATATACCCTACAACGCCATCCAAGTCAATTAAGCCTTCCTTCCTGTCAGAAATATAAGAAACTCACGAGGGCATGTATACCGGAATTAGATGTAACAAGCTTGAGACTGGAAGAAGCGCCAAAAATTCCTTGGATAGGTGCTGCAGAAGTTTTAGCAACCATGTTTTTTGCCCAGACCGTCTGCGCGAAGTCAACAACTAAGTTAGAGCCAGGGTATTGATCAAAGACTAACCTTAGCCGAAATCCCAGAGACCGCAGACTTGAGGAAAAGATTTTCAAAGCGTACTGTCTTGGTGAGATCTCCTATGGTCTGAGGAAAGATGCCCATGCTCGTGGCGAAAGTCTTGAGCTCCAACGGCGACTCTTCCGTCCCTTTGGGCAAAGTTACGTTTATGCCGAACCAAACTGGAATATGCCGATGACGGTGCGGACCGCGACGGGGTGGCCTAGTGCTCTATATCATCGGGTCAAACAAAAGCGAGTGTTATGATGATTATAGTACTTACGAACACGCCCACACCAACTTCGCCCTCATGCCGGTTAAGCTGGCACACTTGTGCATGCTCGAGAAGATGAGGGTGTCGGTAATGTGTCGTCACATTGACGAGAACAGAGTCTCCGGGCTGGTCTGACTGTCCAATATCAACGGCTCCAAAAGAAAAAGGACCACGAGACAACAAGAACAGAGACTTGGAAGAGATGGGAAGCTCGAACGTGTTCCACACGGAATGATAGTGATCATCGTGGTCATGATTTGGCTTGTCGTCTCCGTCAAGGTAACTAGGTTCTTCATCAGGCCAGTTCGTACAGTGGTCCACCGTCATGTCAGGGGGGATAGGGAATTCGCCTGGTTCGCCAACTGAATGTTCATCGTATTCTCCCAACTGTCGAAACCCGTTAATGCAAAAAAAGGTCTAAAAAGCGGTAGCTCACCCAGTCTGGTTCCTGGATTAGTTGGTGGTGATCGTTACAACCCCCGCGGGTATAAAAACCGGCATAGGACGAAACACTACCAGCGAACATCTTCAAAGCGAAGAAAAGCAAAACCCCCGCTCCAAATCCTTTGAGGAACCGCCTTCTACGTCTAGAACGATCCTCGCGTGCTAACTGCATCATTGGTTCAGGTGAATAACAGTCTACGCCGTGACCCTGTGGTTCATGTTGTTGCCGTTCCAGGAGCGCCTTTTCAGAGACGGAAGTTGGGAGGGGATTGTAAGGAGCAGTGGGATCCATTTTTCAATAGGTTGTGGGGTGCCTCGATAGATATCATGCGCCGTCGCTTTTATATGGCCAAATATGACGGATGAGATCATTATTCCGAAAATTCGGGAATAGGTCTGGAGGCCTAGTCCTAGTCAGGACAGGATAGAACTTGAGCAGCAAGGTCAGAAAACTGCGCCCCAAACTACGCAGTCGATGTGCACGCATGTGGTCCGTCCCAACCTCGATACTTGTGACTCAGACGAAAAAACGCGGTCGCTGGTTAGCAAAGAAAAATAGATAGATAAAGCACCAACTCACTTCGGTCCCGATGACCCACCTCAAGTCTGCACTGCGCAGGAGGATCCTGACGTTTTGTAGTGGCTACTGCGCGCTCATCAGGATCTTATGACACTTCGTCCCGCTGCGGGTGGAAGCAATTCAGACCCATATTAGTCGCACTAATGAAGATGTACCTTGACTGCGGTTCTTCAAATTGCAGAAACCCCACTAGACATGATAATAGGGATGAATCAGACAAAAGGCACACGTGTGCTGCATCCTGGAAAGCAAATGGTATAGCGCTCTGCTAATCTTGCTAGATTATAGGTAATGCTCGCAGTTCACTTGAACGCGCAGTAATGAACAGGGAGGATTCTAATAGTCAAGCCGGAGAAAAGCATGGTGGATGTCGATAATAGAAAAAAATTACCCACGTGTTACACTTTCATTAGCACTTACCCTGACAGCAACAAGTCGCCGTCTCTGTCAAGTTCACAAGCTGATGAAACACAGCTATCGTGAAGTTGTGGTATTCCTTACTTTAGTGAAACTTTTGTCGTTGTTAGTACCTAAGAATGATATCTATTTCCTTCTTTATTCTCTGGATGATATCGAAACCGAGAGATCATGAAATTCTGACCAGTTAGCTTCACAACTATTCAGCATGGATACCTCGGTTATAACATGCGTTACCGCGAGTTTTGTTCTCGGCTTATTGCCAGGTAGTTTCTATATCATGATTCCTGTGAGTAAGTCACGAAGTCGAGCGTAGCTACTCACATCCAGGACGTCCCCGAGGTCGGTCGTTGACATATCGGTGCCTTTCGGCCCTATTTCACCTCTACGAGAGCGACAAAGAAGCAAAACCATAGATGCAGTTTCTGCAACGAGGCTCCAGACTTTGTTGGGAATGTCACTCCCCAGACCGTCTGCGTCCAATTCTATCTCCTCGTCTTGACCTTCCATGTAATCCTCGACTTTACGTTGGACCTCGGCCATTTGATACACGAGGGCAACTAAGGTGGCTTTTCCATCGGCACCATCATTCAATCGTACCAACGACCGGAACAGAGCACAAAACAGCCAAAGCTGATGCGATACCCGTCCATCCGAGTTGATGCAAAACGCGTCCCGGTCCATACCAGCATTGTGTCTTGCCAAATCTAACGTTGCAACAGTATTGCAGTAAATCAGCTGAGACTGGCCTTCGAAGTGTTGTCTGAGCACTTCCAAGTCGCCCTCAGCTTGCAACCATATTGCTCGAACCGACTCCACGGTTGGAACATTCACTCTGTGAGCATAATTGAGGGTCCGTGTAACTTCGTGGTAAGCCTCCTCCAAACTCCAAGTAATGTGATCATTTTCATTGACATCCAATACGAATCCGTATTGCACTAGAAGCTGAGCATTACTTAGAGTCTCGCCATATGTGTTGAACACTTCGGAATGAGGCGGAATGGCAGAGTTTGATACCATTTCGTAATAATCATCTTCCTCCATGTTGGATTCGTGTCGATAACCCGAAGTTGAATTGTCTTGAGGCAAACTCGTAACGATATCCTGGTCATGTGGGCATTCTCTTAACGAGCCGCACTCTGGACAGACCTGGAACTCGCTCTAAAGGAAAAAGCTTGAGATTCAGTAATTTGGTTCTTAGCGTATCTGTACGAAGGATCTACCTCCAAGTGTACATGGTTGTCCGTCGTATGATTAAATCTAGAGAACCCGACAGATTAGCTTCCACAAAGCTTGTGGCAGATGTACTTAGCTTACGCATCTGCAATAGGTACCATCGATAAACCATGGTAAGCATCAACTAAAAATGCCCTGGACGACACGAGGGAATAGGCATGATGGAATTCGTGTAATTGGGGCTCCAAGCTAGTTCCAAAACATTTCAAGAAAACCGGGACGGCCGTGTTGTCGTAGAATGACTTGATAACGGACTAGCCAATCCAAAGAAAGCCGAGGCAGATACATCGATTAAAAAAGATTGAGCGAGATTTGGTTGATAACGAAAGCAGAAGAATATACCGGAATGTTTTCTTCTTTTTCAGAAGGATAGCGGAGTCTCCTATTCACTTCAGTGCCTTCTAGCCAATTTATTGCCGTTCCTCCGTCTTCATAGATATCGTCTTTGGATGGGACGTCCCAGAACACGGGAAGGTCGACTCTGTTTGGCAGAGACTGTAGGTAACCATACCATCTGGAGGATTCCTTTTTCGCTCTACAGCAGTTAGAATCTCATAAAGAATAGGATGGAAGATTAAATTACGGACAGTTCCAGGTACAATGCGACGGCGAGCTCGAGCTGCGCTTCGAGTCCGTATGGGCTAGCACTCATCATATGTGAGACTGCGGTCGATTTCGTCGACAAGACGGAGCTTTTAGGAATCTTCACCACTGGCTAGAATAATTAGAATGCCGTCAATGTCAATAATTGAGACGGGCTCTCACAGGTTGCCGACGGTGGAATAACCTCCTCAGATGAAAAAACTGCTATGCCGCCATTCTGCGGTAGAAGTTGAAGTTTCTCATGAATCCAAATACCGTTTTTGGAGCACCAGGTTACAAGAGTCTGAATTTGGGCAGGGATGATGCACCCACAGTGAGAAGAAGAAGAGGAAGGATTCATGATGGTGGTAGAAAAAGGAAAGGTCCTGCCAGGACTCGAACCTGGGTCATGGGAACATGACTAATCAGAATCCCATGTGATAACCACTACACTACAGGACCAACGACCATGATTAGGGTTTTTGAAGATTCCTCATGGACGATTAAGTGTCTTCCTTCGTTACTTTTTTGTGTGAAAAGCAAGAAAAGAACGCTAGAAGAAACTCTCAAAGATAAAAATAATGACGGCAGATATCAAAAATATAATGGATTAAAAGGAAGATACGTCGAAAATTAGAAAAAAAATTCATGTCTAAAAGCATGTTGAGCGGTTGGGCGACAAAAAACTGTAAATGGCTTTTTGATGCGAACGAGACTCATATGTCCAGCTCTACAAATGACAAGTTCTTCCACTTCGAAAGCAAGCACTTAAAGATATGATCGGTCTTTCAGTCGTTGTAACTTCTTCTCGAAATACAATTGACGCCGACATAGACCTGAGAAAAAAACTTACAGAGTTCCTGAAACACCGGGAAAGCACTTTAACTCATCATATAGGTAGTAATTGTATTCGGGCTGGAAGTTTCGTCAAACATGAATGAGTGTTGAAAACCGAACTTGGACGCTTCAGAGCCTCAGCCACAATGCGTTATCTCTAATTGCGTTGTCTTTTGCAAGGAACGTGTTCACTATTTGACTTTCTCTGAGAAAGGTCTAAAGACATCGTCGTCTAGAAAGAAAGGAACACTTCTACATGCTTACTTTGACCAATTAACAAGGTCGAGAATTCAAATCCTAAACCGCTCTCAGATCAATAAACGGTGTAGTTGTAACACCGCTCCATCTCGCGAACCGAGGGAATGTTCAGCACGGACCGCCCACCCGGACAGAATACGAGAGACTTAAATAAATCCAGGGTACTGTGTAGAAGGGAAACCGATTAAGGCGGTTCCGGAAGAGAGGATCCTTGCAATGCTACTCTATAAGGCGACCAGGCAGAAATGATGATGGAGGTGACCTAGGCCACAGAGACGGTTTTATACCATTCAAGTTGGGGAGAGCCTATAAAAGAGTTGATTGAGGAAGGAACCGATTCTTATTTTGCTAAAAACATCATATTCGTAGCTATTGAAAATCTTCAGAAAATGCCGGGTGCTGAGTTACAAACTTATTTTCGCTCTCAAGCCGATTTCATCATGGCGTTACGTTGTAATGAAGCTTCCAAGCCATGGAAGACGAAACTGAATAATCCAGAGAACTTCATCAGAAGGACCTTGAAAAACATCCGCGATAGGCCGATAACAACGTTAACAGTAGCTCTGAAGTTAGTAACTCATTCATTAATCGTTGCATCATAACTTACGACAGGACCGCTAGGATTACTTCCGTTGAGTTGACGTACGGTCAGCGAGGAATGAGTTAACAATAGCACAATAAACGTCTTTTAAGCAAAAACACTCGGTATTGAATAAGTGTAGTAGTGTTTGGATAGATTTCCACGAACCAAGAAACATCTTGGGAATATCCTCGAGGCTAGAAGCTTACATGTGGTAAACAAAGTGATTTTGATACTAGACACGAAAGAAAAGCCCGTCATCATCCCATGGCCTCTTGAGGGTTCCATTCTGTTATTGCCCTCGAATGGAATAGGAGCCCAGCCAAATAAGTAGTAAGACATCTCTTTAATATATGAAGTACATCCGAGAATAGCAGTTGTATGACTTCACCTACTAGGAGAACTTGGAAATCCTTTCCAATGGAACGACGACATTGTCATAGAATTCCCCAGCCAATTCTCCGTCATCAACTTCTAAATATCCTCCACGTCTCAAACACCACATCACGGCTTCCTGATATGTCGTACCAACCCTGAATGCCAGCTCCTTCTTCACCCGCTTAAGCACCTCTTGCATAAACTCCCTCGATTTTCTCGCATTCCACTCCCATCCTCTTTCACTAGGGGTAACGCCCCTATTGCCACCGCTTTCAGTCCCACTCGGTTGTTTCCGCATCGTCTCTCCATATATCTTTTCCATCGGTACCCACCACGCAATCTCCGCTAGTACAAGTCCAAACGAAAACACGTCATACGCCATACGATAACCAGCTTTGTTTGAAGCATCACCCTGGTAATCTGGATGACGATAGATAGCTTCTGCAAGGTCTTCTGAGACATAGTCTATACTGACCGATTCGGTATATTGTCTGGAGTACTCAAAACCAGTAATGAGAGGGTCCGAGAGATCGAAATTACTATTCGAGAGACTTCCTTTTGAATCCTTAGCTGGCTTGTTGGAAGGCCCATTGGGAGGAGCATGAGGGAAGACGATATTATCGCTTCGTATACTCTTGTGCAGCCACTCGCTTCCATACAACTGCGAAAGGACTTTTGCTAGAGTACCAGCCAACGCAAGCCTGCATTCGAGGGAGGGTTTAATGGAGCTTTGAAGGAGAGAAAGTAGACTGCGAGGCTGACCCATAGTAATACTGATGGGACCTTGTCCGATATTGGGTAGAGGAGGTAGAATGCTGTGAGGTAGAAACGGTTCCTGGTATACAAGATACCAACAGTTCTGCTCGTGTTCACTCCAGTATCCCATGCAGCGAGGTAAAGCGGCACGTATGCCATCAGTGGAAGAAGCATTCAACAGCATAATGAGGCGATGAAGGCGATGATGAAGGTGAACACGATCCTCTGAAGAAATATTGGAGTCATAGCGTTTCTTTTCTATAAGAACATATCTGCTTTCTTCGGCTGCGAAACGCGGTTTGTAGAGTGCAATGCACCTCGAGTACGTCGCCTGAGCGAAATCTTCAGGCAAAATGAAATCCTGCTTAAGTAGTTTTTGAATAGAGACGCCACTTTCAACGGTAGAGGCCTCCTGTCCTGACTCTGAAACAAGGATTGATTTTCGCAATGCCATGGAAAACATGTCTTGAGAATTGCAATCGTTCTCAGAGACCTCTTGTAGCATCTTTAGGCCAGATGCGTCGTCACAGACGGCCACAGCCTGGATCTTGACTCGATGCAACCTATGGGATATAGTAGCTTGTTGAGATTCGGTCAAAAGCTCCCACAGGTTCGTTGTGAAACCCCGAATAGTATTAACTAGGGACTCGAATTTGGATTTTGAAGATATCGCCCAGCGTATGCGACGTATAGTGGGAATACGATCAGCTTCAGGATTTTTGCTGGATCGTTCTCGGAGAAGGTCTTTGACACGAGAAAAAGAGACTGATCTCCTTGATTCCATTGTTTCACCTGCGTCCGTAGCTTCGACTAAACCAAACTCTTCCATTAACCTGCTCGAATCCTGTAAAAGGTTTGCTAGGCGCTGAAGTATTCCATCCACAATCCCCTGAAAGAGTGACAACTCGGAACAGAGCGCTCCTTGACTTGCGCCAGACGCCTCGCCCCACATTTGCAACCGAGCTCTTTCAATATCAAGTTGTAGAACCAACTTATCAGACGTCTCTGGAAAATCGATCGCCGCTTGGAAAATAGTGTAAACCTTCATAGCAAAGTCAAATGCGTTCGCTGCTACTCCAATTGCCGCAAATGTCATGTCAGCCATGGTAGCAGTTATCCCGGTTTAAGGACCACCCTTGGTTGTAATAAATGAAATAAAATGAATGGAGGATAAATAAAAATAAAATAGTGATGCTCACTTGACGATACTGCTTGTCGGAACTGTAAGAAAACTTCGCCGCAATGTCGATGGCCTTTTGACGGGGAACGTGTTTGCCAGCTGTACAGCATCCACGTTTTGATCAGGCTATGCACAAAAGCTACATCAATAGCTTGTCAACAGTGCGGCGCAGCTAGTGAGGTTCATGCATGATACCTGTGCAGGAGTTATTTTCGGATCAACTATTAGAGCCGAAACAAAGGTCAAATCTAGGGCATGAGATGGAGTGACGGAAGATTTGTGTGCTTAATGGATACTACGGCAGGCAATATTCATATTTGGTTCTGAAGCAAAGATAGAAGCGATTTCTAGAAGACGGACTGAGAACGTTAAAGCTTGATTCGCTGTAAAAAAATCGTCAAGCACCCGTACATCAGGCGGCCACGGCAGAGAAAATAAGGGATCTAGGCTGAGAGGTAGAGTCAAAGTGCCTCAAAATCACCACCTTTATGAGCCTGTCCGAAATAAACCCATTGGTAAGTATGGTCCGTATTGTTCCGAGCACTGAATGATCATCGGCATTTCAGCGGCATTTTGCATTCAATGCCGAATTTCGGCCCCGCAATGAACCGAATATTGTAATCTTATCTACCTACATTAGATATACCTGATGTGGAAGGAGGAGAAATATTGTAAAGCGCGATGTAAGTTTTTGGAATCCCACCCACTCACTCCTCGGGACTGAATAGAACGGGCTTGGTTAGAGTAACGTTTCATCTCCCATGGATTAGCAGAACCAACAACTCGTTTCGCAAACTCTCCATCCTGGTGGTTCCTCGTAGCCTGTCTCATCTGACGTCGACATTTATAGAATAAAAACATGGGAATTTCCCTGGAAAGACGTCACGATTTTGGATTTGGGAAACGATATCTACTATTTAGTATATTTAGTCTTCGAAATGAGAAATGTTTCCTGTTTTCGGTAAAGCTGCTACTTCGGTTTGAGGAGCCTATGCTTTCAAGGGTGACTGTCCGTTTCCTTCTCTCTTCGACTGGTTTGTACCAATGTTTAAGATTCGAGCTCTACCGCGAGGAACCGACGGACTTAAGCTTCGGTACTTTGTCGGTAAAAGTTGAAATTCGCATCAGGGGCGATTAACCTTTGTAGGTGGCACCGAGGAATCAAAAACAACATATCTGAGTGTCACTTCTATTGTGAAAATATTGTGCCGAGAACATATCGAGGGTTGTTCCAAAATTTGACAACTAGTCCTGAGCTCATGGTCGCGTCACAGGGATTCAATTATGGTTCCTAAAGGCAACGTTGCTGGTATACTTACATAAATGTTGAGTGGGGACTTTCTTTCCGTTTCTAGGTGAAAAAAATAGGTTAAAGATATTTACTATTGATACGTCCCATTTGTGCCGTGTTATTTTCTGGAGAATGCTCACCGACCATACGCACCGGTTGTATATGTGTGGGTACTACACCAA